AGTCACCGACACTGCGCTAATCCCCCCCCCCCCCCCCTCCCATCCTCCCTCCTCCCCCCTCTTTTTCCCACGTGTCAGAGGGAGGAGGTAAACAAAGCAGGTAAACAGACAACAGAGAGAGGGAGGCAAGTGTGCCCTACAAATGTCCCTTAACACACCATCGTAAACACTTGTTTTAGTCAAAACGAAATATCCATAATATGATTATAACATATTAATACTTCCTATGTCCTCTGGTCAAATGTAACCCAATGTTTTTTCTGTTGGTTACTTCATCTAATCACCACAACAACAACAACAATCCTCTGGCTGGTTTTATCCTTTCTATCGCGAAACAAAGCAGTTCGAGATAAATTACAGTATTGCACAATTTCACAATTTTGCATCGAGTTTTTCGTCAGATTTCCTTTTTTTGGGAGGAGCTACGCTAACCCTTTGAATAACGATGTTTTTGTATTATTTAGTTTGAACCTAATTGTCAGTAAAGGGTCATCTGTCATTCTCCTCCTGTCCACCAGGTGGCCTCTGACTGTCTCTCCGGTCACATGACCCCTCGATACCCTGCTCACCTGTTCCCCATTTCCTCATCAAACCCTGCAGGTATTTAAGCCGCTCTTTTCCACTCACTCTTGTTGATTCATCAACGTTAGCATGAGCTTTGTCCCTTTGTTCTCCAGCCTGGGATTTATTACCTTTCTGATTTAAAACATGTTGGATTTCCTGTCCCCCCCCCCCTCCCATTGGATGCACCGTGATTCCTGGACCTGCCTGTAAGTGTTTACACAAGTTATTTTGTCGAATTTAAATGTTTGGGATAATCATGAATATCCTTACGTGAGTCGTGTTAGAAGATCTGTGGAGCTTGCTCTCATGTCAGATTAAATGAAAAATAGAGACTCATTACAAATAAAGGAATTATCATGTGAGAAAGAACAGCACAACGTAGTTATTCAATCTTTTTTTATTGAAGCTTTTTAATACATTTTTTAATGTAATTAGGTATCTTTCAAAATTAGGATTCATAATAACCCGAAGATATTAAAAGATAATGTGTCCTAACTGCATGCAATTTCTTTTAATTGCAATATGATTTAGAGTTTTTTAAGTTTTAAGCCAAATTAACACGATTATTGCCAACATTTAGAAAATATATTAATATTATAAATTCTTTTAATCTTTGGCACGCTGTATATACTGTAGGCTGTAGAGTTCCCTCTGATGTAAAAACACCAAATGCATGATGAGGTTCATGGTGTCTGCATCACACCTTGATCAGCACCACAGACCTGCAGAACACGTGAGAACCCTGCTATGTTAAAACCATTTTTAATGCATTAGATCAAGAATGTGTCTCAGATTTTGCATCTGTATTCAATGAACCCCGTGGCCCCGGTGATTAATCTGTTAATGTTTCTGTAGACCCATGACTCAAATATAGATTAAGTTCATGTAGCCGTGAGCAAACAGAGTCATAACCAGGGTTAGGAGGGTAACTTTAAAAATGTATATAATTACAAACACTAATTCACTGCTAAAGATGTAGTGTCTCTACTTTAAAGAGTCCTCTCCTGCTGATGTTCAGGTGTATATCAGTATGTAGTGTCTCTACTTTAAAGAGTCCTCTCCTGCTGATGTTCAGGTGTATATCAGTATGTAGTGTCTCTACTTTAAAGAGTCCTCTCCTGCTGATGTTCAGGTGTATATCAGTATGTAGTGTCTCTACTTTAAAGAGTCCTCTCCTGCTGATGTTCAGGTGTATATCAGTATGTAGTGCCTCTACTTTAAAGAGTTCTCTCCTGTTGATGTTCAGGTGTATATCAGTATGTAGTGTCTCTACTTTAAAGAGTCCTCTCCTGCTGATGTTCAGGTGTATATCAGTATGTAGTGTCTCTACTTTAAAGAGTCCTCTCCTGCTGATGTTCAGGTGTATATCAGTATGTAGTGCCTCTACTTTAAAGAGTTCTCTCCTGCTGATGTTCAGGTGTATATCAGTATGTAGTGCCTCTACTTTAAAGAGTTCTCTCCTGTTGATGTTCAGGTGTATATCAGTATGTAGTGTCTCTACTTTAAAGAGTCCTCTCCTGCTGATGTTCAGGTGTATATCAGTATGTAGTGTCTCTACTTTAAAGAGTCCTCTCCTGCTGATGTTCAGGTGTATATCAGTATGTAGTGCCTCTACTTTAAAGAGTTCTCTCCTGTTGATGTTCAGGTGTATATCAGTATTTAGTGTCTCTACTTTAAAGAGTCCTCTCCTGCTGATGTTCAGGTGTATATCAGTATGTAGTGCCTCTACTTTAAAGAGTCCTCTCCTGCTGATGTTCAGGTGTATATCAGTATGTAGTGCCTCTACTTTAAAGAGTTCTCTCCTGTTGATGTTCAGGTGTATATCAGTATGTAGTGTCTCTACTTTAAAGAGTCCTCTCCTGCTGATGTTCAGGTGTATATCAGTATGTAGTGCCTCTACTTTAAAGAGTCCTCTCCTGCTGATGTTCAGGTGTATGTAGTGTCTCTACTTTAAAGAGTCCTCTCCTGCTGATGTTCAGGTGTATATCAGCATGTAGTGTCCCTACTTTAAAGAGTCCTCTCCTGCTGATGTGCAGGTGTATATCAGTATGTAGTGTATCTACTTTAAAGAGTCCTCTCCTGCTGATGTTATTTGTTGTTTAACCTTCCCTGACACTTTAGGAACAACATCCCCACCTGGTGGAAAGAGAGACCCACAAAAAGCCCCCTTTTATCCTAACCCAAATGCATCATCCAAAATGAAATCTCTAATGTTACCCTGCTCCTCTCTGATGTATTGTAACTGCTTTACCACTTTATTGTAAGTCACTTTCCAAGACTTATCTGAGGGTGGACAAGAGCAGCGAGCATTAAGAGCGATGCGATGTATTGTTAGTGCCTTCTGGTGCACAGCAGCAGCCAGAAATCTCTCTGCTCTCACACTCCATCTTCTCCCCCATTTATTATTGTGCCAAGCGGCGTTTCTCTCCTGACCTCCAGCCTTGTTTCCAGACAAGAGGACGGCCGAGCAAAGTCATCATTCGGCCCAGAAACAAAGCAGTTAAAAGTCCCCTCATCCATCAAACCAGCTTCAGATCTTTGACAATGTCCCGGGCCCCGGTTCGGATCAAAGACAAGAGTCAGGTTTCTTACAAATAACTGCACCCCCCCCCCATCCATCATGCTTCAAACTGAGATAGCACAATAATAAAAACCTTTTCAGTTAATGGCCGCAGTTAGATCCCGCCATTAGGCACGTCCCCCTTTTCCTACAACCTCGTATTAGGCTTTGATTGATGACTTGATCTGAGTGTACATTAAAGGAGCTGCTTAAAATTCACTTTTTGTAGCCCGTCAGACACAGAGCTGATTAACGAGCGCTGTGAAACTAGAGCTGCTGCTTTGGTGAGGAAGAGATCTGATCGGATATATGCAGGGAGCTTTTTTTAAGCTTTGTTTGATGATGAGAATGTCATTATTTTTGCTGGTGTTCGGTTTAAAAAAATCAAAGTATCGAGCACATTAAAATTCCAAACTTGATGATAGAACTGTATGAAAGTCAGAGGAGCACTAGAGTTGTTATCATTTATTATAAAAGGACACATTTGTGTGCTTAATTCAAGGTGGGGTAGGTAAGTTTGAGAAACCGGATACACTTTTTGTTATATTCCATGGAATGCTCTTAACATCCCGATAGCAATGAATATCTTAAGTGCTTTGACAAAAAATCCATAAAAAAATATCATCTGTGGAAGCCGTAATACTGTAAAAAGCACGACCAATCATCTGAGCCGGCCCGGCTAAAATAACTGGATGGCCTACCTGCCTGTCAGCCTTCCATCTGTGCACAAACTTATCTCGTGCCCTCATTGGTCATGTGCGCGTTCGTGTGTGTTGGAGGAGGGGCTCTGTGAGGAAGTGGCAGATTTCTTCCGGCTGTGTATTTTCAAATTCTAGCGCACTCAAGCTGGTTTCTCCAAAATGACCTACCCCACCTTTAATTCAATGATAATGCCTCCAATATATGATGAAACTTATTGAACAGGAGACAATGTGTTTGATTTCATCCTCTTCGGACCACGAACATGTCTACATTTGTGTAATAATGTAATTTTAAGATTTGCATTTTGAAACATTCACTCAATCCATAAAGGAAGCCTCGAGTTTATCTAAAGAAATTCAAAAGCACCACATTTGGAGATTTGTGTATTTTTTTTGACGGCAACAGTATGCCGTAAATTCATTAGAGTATAATATCAGATGCCCCTAATCTCAATATTAAACTTTTATTTGTATTTTTCTTGTGATATATTATATTTAATGTGTGTATTACTTCAACTGTAGACATTATAATGAGAGTAGAAGCTGTAACTTGCATCAAATACTAACCCTAACCCTAAGAGATTGGAAGAAAGCCGTACTTTTTAATATTGAATTATGAGTTTAATTTTGAACGCAAGTGGAAAAAAATATGTTCCACTTCCAACGTGTACTCTATATATCTGTGCCTTTCTGCTTCAATATTGCTTAAACTGAATTTATTTTTGTTGGATTTATTAGGTTTTTTCTTCTTCTGTGTCTGGTTGTTGTTGTTGTTCTTCTCTTTCTTCTTCTTCGACACCACTACGTAAGCAGCTAACGTAAACCTCACTTGACATCACCAGATATCAACACAGTTTCATCTCTTAAACTAATAACATAAAACTAGTATTCATTTCTAAAGGATCACGACTAACCTCTTTAATATCTCTAAAGGGAACTCAACAGGATCAACAATCTGTTCCGTCTCTCAAAGCGTGCACAGACAGCTGCTGTGTCTGAATCTCAAACTCTTCAAAGAAGCCCTGAGCCGCGCACAGCTCCACTTTAATCACCAGCAGGACGGCAGAGGAGGGTGGAGGGCTTCAAACACCCTCAGAACATAATGGATCATAAAGCAAACGGCGGCAGAAGCTCTGTGTCGTGTGTAAACTCAAGGTCCTCTCTCTGGACTCTGC